GGATGTATTCATCCTATTTCGTTAAGATTATGAAGAACTAGTGACACAAGAGCACTACCGTAGACTGGGTTCGAGTCCTGTTTGGGGTGCTAATGAAACCAATTCAGGTGAGGTAGAAACTGCAGTCCACTCCACTCGGGATGTGGATACATTTTGGGAAGCAAGGCTATGTTAAAGTTAATGTAAACTCATATGATTATGGGAAAATTGAATTACCAGTCCTACATAACCTTAACAAAATGGGGTGAATACATCTCAGTTTAGTTTGTTTTTGCATATGGTCGCGAGTTTTGCTCAGAACTTGACTAATTCGAGACCTCAGTACTCTCTGGACATCCAAAATAGCAAAGTTGGCGTGTATCCACTTCCCAATTATAAACGATGGAGATAAATATCCCAGTTTGCTGATAACATCTCTATAAGTCGTTGGGGAATTCAACCTTTAGAAGATGAAAGATCATTTTTTCAGGACCAATTAAAGCTGTCTAAAAAGGGACTACTCATGGGCCTTCGGTCGATGCTGTCCCTCATAACTGAATAGGAAAGAAGGAGTCTAAACATTTTATTTTTGCGAATAAAGCGTCAGTATTGTCAAAATTTTATTAGACAGCAGTAACACGGGGGCCCGAACCGAAACTAATGAATATAAAAAAAATGGATAATAGATGGCGAAACTATCGTTAGTTTGGAAAACTGAAGATTTGTGTGTGGAAGGAGCCTCTTAACAATGGAAGAGTGGAATACACATAAAGGCATGGGAGCAAACAGGTGGATAGAGGGTTATCCTGTGTTCACAACATACCTGTCAAGAACTGGGTCAGTGAGCAGAAATACCTCTTGACCCAAAAGCCTATCGGGCCGAATTTCCCAGTTATGAGAATATGGAAACTGGGATATAACCTGTTTCAGGAGGGTAATGACCGACTCGAATCATGGCTCACAACCGATGTAGAGGAGTTCACTCAAAATTCCGCAGCAAGATTCAACATTAATTTTTGCAAGTCACCTTCGAAGAGGCCGAAATGTGTGGAGGAGAATGGAAAACTCCAACGAGGGCAGATGCTAGGCCAGCTTGTTTCCCACTCCTTTCTCCTGCCCTCTCACATTTCGATTCCGTCTCCGCCTCCTCTCCCTTCTTACCCTTATCCTCGTCTTTTTGCGTGTCTTCCTCCTCTCCTGTCCTTCTGCTCCCCCTCTTCTATCTTTCAACTGCCAGTTATTTGGGGCAGTACAGTCCGGCTCCCGCTAATCAGGTCCGCAAATTAGATCAACTTTCAAGTATTACTTGAGGAGAAAGGCTAGAATATTTATTAGCGTTAATTGGCAGTGTGAAAGAACACCTTGTTGAGAGGAGGAGAAAAGGCCAAAACTACTCTCCCTTACGAAATTACACTCATCTTGCCATTCATGTCTGGGAATACTTGCTTGATTAGTTGTACCAGCAGGAGGTATTTCTTTAACCTTGTTAAGGCTGTGGCTTTTAAACAGTTGGATACACAATTTCAATGGAATACCTCTTTCTTCCTCCAATCTCTGCTAAATCAATGCTTTCGAGTAATTCTTTGATTACTTGTAGACTACAGTTACGCTTAATGATTGTTAGAAATAAATTCAACTCTACTTAGGCTGTTGTGTAAAAATAAGATACAGATATTGGCCGCTAACAATTTGCATTATCTTATAAACACATTGATCAGGTGTGTTGACTACTTTTAGGTTACAAAGTTGTCTGAATGAGGATCTTGCATGCCCAGCATCCGAAAGCCGTTGTGAGACCTTTGTTCTGGATCAAGCGCTTGCCCAGACGGAAAAGTTGCCCACAGACAGACACTGGCAGTTTGGAAATTTCATTAACGCAAGTGAATGTGTCTATTTTCGTGTCTTGATTTGACACAATCTATGTTTACCTCTCCTCCAAGTGGTAATGGTCTGGAAATCGTTGCGCCTGTATACCTATGCACTAGACTGGCTATAACATTACCAGGGCCAAGTATTGCCTTGGCAACCGAGTCGAATCGGTGAGTAGGAGACTATGTTCACCTGTCCCGGCAACATCTTAGGGTGAGAAGCAGAGCTTTTCCTAACTTGCAAATTGATCGCCACACAAGATGCTAAACTGAAGGTATCATCTAGCATGAGGTGAGTTTTAAGGCGTTGCAAAGATCGCTTCCGTGCCCTGAAGAGGTCAGAGAAGGTGCAGGTGAGCGCCCAGTCCACTTTCACTGTGATCCGTTGAAATAGTCTCTAAAACCGCCCTGCTATAAACAACTTTTGTAATGGGCTTGGTTGCATCACGAGAAACGCAGCTCAATTTGACTTGAGAATAATTTTGTACGTTATAAAATATCCATTATTGTCCATCACTTTACTTGCTATGATCATTATTATCTATCGATAAAATGATGTTGGCCCACCAAAAATAGTAGATTTACCAGGTCATCCGACAGGAAGAACAGCCTTGCTTGGGCCTCAAGTCTTCCCCGATCAAAACCTGAGTTCAAATTTCGTAGTCTGCCCTCTCCTGAGCAGCCAATTTTTTGCCTATTTGTCGGACGAATTAGCAATAAATTCAAAAGGAGTTACAATTCAAGAAAGAATTTCGTAACTGGGTCACAATGATCCTCGACACGACGACTCATTTTCTTGGCAGATTGAAAACAGATACCTCGGGTAAGAGCAGTTGCGAGCGGAAGTGATAGGGATCAACTAATTTCACGACCAAGCTAAATTGGATCCCACATGTGACAAATAAATTCATCATGATACCAGCTCTTTTGTAAGGTTTTCGGACTGGCCTGACTGGACTAGATTTGTTTCTGACGAAGTCAGAATTTCTACTATCTTTTGGGTCCCATTTCCAATAGAAATACTCTCCGCAAAGGGCTCTTTTTAAGCATATAATTTTGTCATAGTGATAAGCTTGAGCTTAGAAATATTGCAAAAGACGGCTTAACTACGGCCGGAAAAAGAGTACACAACAGTCCTGCGATGAGGAAGATAAATGGTCTCCGGAAAGTGTCTAAAATTAAATGGACGTACTTACAGCGACCATATCACAATAAAAAGGCCCTTACAAAATTTATTCGCTTCTACTTATTGGCTATGAGCAGGCAAAGTTAACCTGTTTTTGCTACAAAAATGTGGAATTTCAAGATAGGCTCGTACTTGGGCTTGTCAATTAGCACAAGTTCATACGGCCTTTTGAGATCAGTGAGAAATAGGTCCTAGAGGTGGCTCTAAACTTGAATATTCTATTTTAATATTGAAATTTTTTGCATAATGTTAGCATTTAAATGCTAATTTTGATGCAAGCACCCCGTAACCCACTATTGGTAGTGCGATTTGTGGCAGACAAGTCTGCTACAGAATAAGAATCCTTTATTTCCTATCCTGTTGGAATTCCAAGACTTCTTCGTTATTTATTACTTTTAGATAATATTTTGGCCTCTGGGCCTCATGACCCCCAAATATGTTGCCAAGACCCATCATTTTCTTATGCTGCTATACGGATTGACATAGCTTCTATGACGAATTGAAGAGGGGTTATTCGTCTGCATTGAAGTTCACTATGTTATGCATACACAAAGTCAGTAATTATCTGGAATGGAATGTAGTTTCGACCTAGTCCCATCGGTTCATCAGCACCCCGGCGGGATTCGAACCCGGAATGTGCGAGATCAAAGGAAAAACCTAAGGCTATCCGCCCGGCTCTTAGACACAAGAAGCATGATGTTCCGGGCAGAGCAGGCTTGGTTCACTCACATATTTTAGCTTGCATAATGCGATGAGGTCTAAAGAACTTTCAAGCCCTTTGACAGAATTTGAGCGATAGTGTCTCATTAAAATTATCACATTCCTGGTAGCTACCACCAAAGTAAATGTCAGAACCTTCTATGGATGCTACCTCAATCTTAAAAGCTCGCCGGTCTTAGTCCATCTTTAACCAAAGTCTAAGGAAGTGCTTGATGGGTCCTAATCTCGGATTGTCCCTAAAACATAAAAAGTTTACAATTTGCATTTTTCTAGTTGGAAATGGTATAATAGGCTCCAATTTTAATATTTCACCCGATGCTCTTGAACTTGTCAACAAGCGCAGCCAGTGAACTGAAATAAAATTGGATTGAAATATTCTCCACTCTGCCAAAAGCACCTGCCCTTTCAAAATAGATTCAGCTTGCTCAAAAGAATAAAAAAATCACTGAGAGAAATGAGACCGAATGGTAATTTGTTGGTTGAGCCACATTTTCTTGGCCAGAGAAATCTGTTCGCCAATGACATCATGCTGATGGCTTTAATACAAAAT